TCACTGGTGTACGCTTAATGAACGCCAAACTGTGGAGCAAAGAAAAATGTTAGTTAACTATAAGACATTTAATTTCAGAATACAGTAAATTACAGTAGCTCTAGTATAACACAAGAATAGGAGGTGTATTTCAGACCTTACATGCTAATGTGCTTTGCCGGGTACACTTTTAAAAGTGAGAGAGCAAAACTTTTACTAGTAGCTGAATGTATTAGGTTTTTATATTCATCCATTTTAGACTGACAGAAAACTAAAAGCAATCAAGTCTATAATCATGGTAATTGAAGGCACACCATTTTCTGGTGTAAGATTTCTTCTAATATATTTTAGCTTCACAGAGACAAATGCATGCTAGGGCTAGACAATGACAACACAAATATGCAAGCATATTAGAGAGAGAGATAACGAACGTGCGCGCTTTTGTGAAGCTAGATGTTCGTAGAGCAATTTGAACATGAAAAAGCACTATATAAGCTCTACTTACTACTATAGGTGTGTTAGCCGAAGGATTATAGGACTAGCTTTTCCTAGTCCTAAAGCATTCATATCAGATTTCAGTAAGACTGCACTCACCTGTTTGACTTTAGCCCATAATGAATGTCAGTATTAATGCTATAGGATACAACTTCTTTTTCCTCTTCTCCTTCATCACCCACATCCTCTGCAAACAGAATTTGATATATTAAAAACCTCTAACATACACTTAAAAGCCTATTAACCCATCCCTCTCCACCACATCTACCTCACACCTTCTCGTGCAGGAGCTCATTTGTACCCATGTGTCATCTAGATTTGAAATCATAACAAATCAAATAATTTCAAGTGTCAGCAGAATTGGATAGAATATATCAAAATATATTTTCATTTGTAGTGACCATGACTTAGAACCTAGAAACGCATGACTCCTCAAAACAGAGGAATTTATGGCTTTATTACAAGAGATTAGTTACTTCAGGATCACTACTGCTCCCCCTTTTTCTAGGCTGCCTCCTATATGAATATCTGTAGTGAAAGCATATTACAAGCCAACTCCTTACATGCTGATTTCAAGAGAGATTTGCAGAGTTCCCTCACAATACAAAGACTGAGCTATGGCTTTTTAAAAATACACAAAGTTTTGTTATCTCTGTATGCTTAAAGACCTGCAAGAACATGCCACAAGATTGTCAGTTTAATTCCTTTTCATAACTTACCTTCATATTTTTCAAATACTTCAAATTATATTAAGGAAAAGAGGAGAGAGAGAAAATGACTGTTTCCCCAACTTAGCTAGCGAGTCACAAGGTGATGTAATCGCTGTGAATGCTGGCACTGAAACCACTGCAATGCAGCACAAAGCAATCGCCATCTGAGGAAGACACACCCAAGTGACAAAAAGAACAGGAGCATTACTCTCCTGTTCTCCCAATGCCTCCAAAAGATGAACTACCAGCGTTTTATTTTGTATTACTGTAACACCTAAAGCCCATGGACTAGTAATATAGCCCATTGTGGTAGGTGCCCTTGAGGTCCAGATGAAACCAACCATTTAACAGCATACAATTTATGTTTGATAAGATTAACTGGTGAATCTTCATGATCTGAAGTCTAGCTCTTGTTCTGACAGTTGATAGTAGTCAGCACCTGGTGCTTTACATTTTCAAGTCATGGTAGAAAAGGCAACACTAAACATTTTAGCTTCGTAACAAAGCTTCGTAGAACTCTACCCATTGCATTTAAAGGTATTTAACCTCCTTCCTACTGTATTAGTTGTGTAAAAGCACTGATAATCCAGCAGCATATTTCCAGAAGTAAGTTCTATTACGCCAGGTGATGCTGACAGGAAGCACAGCTCTAGTGAGCTCATCAGTACTATATTTCCAGCACACTTTTTCAGAAGGTTTTTAATCTTTTAAAAATTCAACATATGAGTGGTCAGGGTATTAATTTTTAGTGGCTGAAGCTGACCAAGAGTATCCATAAAAGTAACATGGATCAGTTTGAAAAATATTAACAAAACCATTTCTAGAATGTGGTATTTTAAACGTTGCTGTTTAGGCTATTAGCCTAGAACAGATCCCTTTTTGATGAATTACTTAAAACAAGATTTAGAATTTTAGCAAAACTGCTCTCCCCATATAGAGGTGCACCTTTGTCTGGTTCCTCTATACAAAAAAAAGCATCTGAGGGTATGTCTACACCACAATTAAAAATGACCCAAGCCCCCTGTGCCTGAGTGGAGGGGCTGTTTAACTGAGGTGCAGAGACAGGCTTGGGCAGACTGAGCTCTGGGACCCTCCCACCTCGCAGGCTGGAGCCCAAATGTCTAAGTAGGCCACATGCACGTGTCTAATTACAGTATAGACATACCCTGAGGGAACAACAGCCCTTTGCAGATCCCAAAAGATCAAACCTTTGCCTCCAGCATTTATAATGGTGTTAAATATATTTAAAAGTGTTTTTAATTTATAAGGGGGGGGGGGTCACACTCCGAGGCTTGCTATGTGAAAGGGGTCACCAGTACAAAAGTTTGACAACCACTGCTCTAGGCCATAACATCACACATCCACGTCCTTCAACAGCACTGGCTCATACCCACTGTTTAAACTGCACTGCAGTACTTTGCAACACTGTGGCAGGCGCAGTCCTTCAGATGAAATTTGAGGCAGACTCCTTCTGCCTGGATCTGTGAACTAGCCACACAGAAATTAATGATCCTTTGATACTTCTCAAATTGACCAAGGAAAAATCCTAACATCATGCCCTTATCTTTTCAAATCAGGTACCAACAGGGAAGTCTATGTGAAGGCACAACAGCTGTTGTATTTACTTACATAAGACCTTTGAGCCAGCATCTACATATTACTTTATAAAGAGCTTTGGGGGGACATGTAGCCTAACACTGCAATAAAGTCAGATGCTGTTTGTTGTGAAGGAGGTCCAAGTTAAAGGCTTCCAAGCACTTCAGTGCTGCAAAGCCAAGATAGAAACGTGACAAAACAATACATACATAGCTCATGGGAATGTTTTATCATCCTGACTTTGATTTCAGCCACAGTTCATACAAGGAAGCGTCCACAAATGTTGATTTCTTGATATCCATAATTTATAACTGAAGTACCAATTACGGGCAATTTTATCTTCCCACAGCACAGACATGTTAGTACCTCTCTGTATAGGTTTTGGATTAGCTTTCAGGACCAAGGTTATGGTACATTCCCTCCCTGTGGGAATGGACAGGTGTGTTGCTAGGTGGGTTTCAGCATCTTGTCTTCTCTCTATTCCAATGCAGGGGGAGCCAGTTCCACCCCTTGGGGGGAAATCAGGGAATTGTTGATGGGGCTGTCTCCCCTCTTCCTATTGCAATAAGGTGTTACAGGGTACACCACACTGCATGTGGGGTCAGCATCTCCCCTGGGGGACGGGGTGGGGATACAGGGGGATCACAGACCCACCCAAACTGTGTGTATATATATGGCGGGAGTCACAGACCCGCCCCTCACTGCGTGTGTGTATGCGGGGAGGTCACAGGCACGCCCAGGCCTGTCACAGGGAGCGAGGGAGGAACAGTCACCGCGGCGCACAAAGCGGCAGCTGCCGCCATCTTGGCAGCTACCATCTGCAGCAGAGGGAGGCGCCCCCTCCTCCCCCCGCAGCGGCTCGGTGCCCGGCCCGGCTCTCACCCTTGAGCGTGGATCG